TTGCTGCGCTCTCCTCCACGGCTCCGAAGCCTTCCCCCTCCGCCACCCGCAGTCTCCGCTCGCGAAGGGGCTTCCTAGTGTGTTGGAAACCCTTCCTCCTTCACAGCTCCTTCCCACTGGTGCAGGTCCCATCCCTATTCTTTTGTCTCTGTTTATTCTTTTTTCTTTTGCCCTACCCAGGTACGTGGGGGAGTTTCTTGCCTTTTGGGAGGTCTGAGGTCTTCTGCCAGCGTTCAGTAGGTGTTCTGTAGGAGTTGTTCCACGTGTAGATGTATTTCTGGTGTATCTGTGGGAGGAAGGTGATATCCGCGTCTTACTCTTCCGCCATCTTCCCCTCCTCCCCTTATTGTAGTCTTAATCTGCATTTTTCTAATGGCTTATGCTGTACAGCTTTTCATGTGCTTTTCTGCCATCCGTATCTGCTCTTCTGTGCAGTGTCTGTGCATGTCTTTTGACCATTTTTGAGTTGAATTGTTTTTCTAATGTTAAGTTTTGAGAGTTCCTTATATTTTCTATATATGAGTCCTTGTTTGGATATGTGATTGTGAATACTTTCTTCTGGTCTGTAGTTTGTCTTTTCATCCTCTTAACAGGATCGTTTTCAGAGCGAAAGTTTTAAATTTTGCTAAAGCCCAGTTTATCAACTTTTATTTTTATGTATTGTGATTGTGGTATCAAGGATGTGATGAGGTTTGTATTTTTGAACATGAAGGATGAAAAGGAAAGCATTAAACATGGTGAAAGGTAGATCGTGGCGAGGCTGTTTCAACAGTCCAAATGCAGAGGCAATGTCAGCATAGCTGGAGAGAAGAGAATAAATAGTTTTATTAGGTAGTAGGCATAATAGGACTTCAAGATCAATCACACATAAAGGGTGGGGGTATTAGGAGACATTTGGGGTTTGGGTTTACATAACTGAGTGGGTAACTTTGCCATTACCTGGGCTGATTACATGAAGAAAGAGCAGCTTTGGGAGATGGGGCCGGGGTGACCACGATTTTCAGACACAATGAATTGAAGGTGCTTGTGGGACATCCAGGGTGAAATATTTAGTGGGCGGTTAGAGAGAGAGATGGCTGTAGACCTCAGGTGAATGTTGGAAACTAAAGACACGGGCTTGGGAGTCGTGACACTCAGATGTGCTTGAGGCCATGGGAATAAGCGAAACCACCTGGGGAGAGACTAACCATGTGGTTTCGGTTCTGTGCATGAAATCAGAAGACAGTAGTGGGCTTCAGTAAACGACGTAAAAAAGCTGAAAACTGGCTGAGAAATTCCAGGTCCTCTTCCATTATCAAGAAGTTCTGGAAATCTGGAAAAGCAAAAATCTTTCAATGCCTTCCTTTGGAAAGAGGATTCAGAGAATGATTCTAATTTATCTGAGTTCTTGAACCTTAAACGTATGAAGGACAAGTCACTAGGTAGGCCACTGACTTTTATCTCCAATACTCTCCAACCCATCTTTCTATTCCAAACGTATCCCCAAGAAATGGGGGTTAGCATCCTATCTAATTTGGAATAAGAGACACAATGCCACATGAGGTAAATCAAATAAAAATGCAAAAGACAACGTAAAGAAAGTCATGGTTGGTGGAAATGGGTATTTGAAGATCAGCTTTTGATCAGCATGTGCCATCTAAGTCTTTAACTTTTAAAATGCTCAAGCACAGTAATTTATTTTCATGCTGTGAGTGAATGAAAGGGGAAGATTATAATTCTTTTAAAAGGAAAGACTGCTGCCTGCGGTCTTGGAAAATAATAGCACTGTGTTCTGAAGCTGGAAACCCACCCTGCCCTTAGCTCCACAAGCTGTGCTTAAAGGAAAAGAAAATATACAGGGAAGAATGCATCTCACTATATTTAAAAAGGATTTGAGGAGGTTTCTGTCCTCCCCCACCCCGGATCCCTCACAAAATGTTCCCGTGTCCTCCTGGTTCCCCTACACCAACACCAGAGCATGCATGGATTCCTACCTGCCTTTCTATTGTATCGGGCTGAAAAGAGTTTGGGTCAGAAAACCAAAATTCCTCCTGAGTATGACACTTTAAAAAGCGAAAAGGGGATGATAAAGTGTGAGCAATCAACCTGCAGGATAGGCTGTGTGGGTCTCCAGGTGGACCGTTAGGGGAAGTGGAGATGCATGCAATGTCCAGCAGGTGGCAGTGTGAGCACGTGGCAAGGCCAGTAGAGGTACTCCATTCCCGAGGGCCAGGACCTGGGAGCCGGTTCTGTCCATCTCTGAAGGTAGGTTTCCAGCCCCTTACCTCCTACCTTTTAAGTCCTTAACAAATCCTGAAAAAGCCGTTCCATTTGATGATTTGTAGAAGCATCGCTTGTCTCCCTTCCATCCAGTGGCTTATTTTGAAAGGCTGAGCTCTTGGAATAAACGAGCAACCTACACAATACGAAGGGAAATAAAATGCTTGATAGCCATTTGATGGCAAGTTTGTCTGCCTTAAGCATTCCTTTGGCAGAATGATCAAATAAGGACAAGGTCGTGGTTTTGATCTCTGCAGAGGCCAATTAGCTTTGTTCTATTGTGTGGCCAAGGGCTTCACCTTGCATGCCTTTAACCACCTGAAAATGTCTGTTTTGCGTATGGGAGTCAGTGCTGCAGTGTTGTTCAAAGAAATTCTCTAGGGTTAAAAAAAAGAAGATTGGGGGCCTCCCTGGTGGTGTAGTGGTTAAGCATCTGCCTGCCAATGCAGGGGACACAGGTTCGAGCCCTGGTCTGAGAAGATCCCACATGCCGCGGAGCAACTAAGCCCATGCGCCACAACTACTGAGCCTGCACTTTAGAGCCCGCGAGCCACGGCTACTGAGCCCGTGTGCCACAACTACTGAAGCCTGCGCGCCTAGAGCCCACGCTCTGCAACAAGAGAAGCCACTGCAATGAGAAGCCCACGCACTACAACGAAGAGTAGCCCCCGCTTGACCAACTAGAGAAAGCCGGCGTGCAGCAACAAAGACCCAATGCAGCCAAAAATTTAAAGAAAAAAAATCCTATTAAAAAAAAAAAGAAGATTGGCATCAGAGTCATGCAGACTTGGGTCCAAATCCCTGCTCTGTCACTCAGTGGTTGTGTAACCTCAGATAAATTACTCTCTCTGTATCCTTCTTCCTGTTACTACAGGTGCTGTGTGAAGGTGATAGTGTAGATGAAGTGCCTGGCATACTGCAAGTGCTCGAGCAAGGGTAGCTAGAAATAATAATGATGTTAAAATCTATTGACTGTTCCCATGACAACTTACCTGGATTCTTTGTTCACCAAGGAGAACATTGTTTTGTTCCAGTGCCCTATGAAGATACAGTTATCTCTTTGCTTCAGTGGACTCTCTACTTAGACCCTTACCCTTTCTCCTCTTGCTGGTCTCAGGCTGCTGAGAGGGGCCAGAGGTGGAGGACTGCCTGGGCTAGAAAGAGCAGGTTAAGTGTACATTGTTGTCACATCACTGCAGCCCATGGCCAAATCAAAATGACCTTTGGATGGTCAGTTCTCCCTCTCTGCAGAACGCTTAACGGAATATGAGCTATGCAGGTCAAGTGACTTCTCCAAGGGAAGAAAGCCCAGATTCCTTGCCCTCTGATCACTCACATACATTGTTATTTGGATGGCACTCCTAACCTCCGCTGCATCCATGCTGCTCCTGTTAGGATCAGTTCTCCATTTCCATCTCAGTTCATAGCTCCACCATCCATTCAGTTTTGCAAGCCAGGTATCTAGGAGTCATGCTGGGCATCTCCCTCTGCTTCTTTTCTCTCTGTGTCTTGCCCCGTCACCCAGTCTTGTCAGTTTTATCTTCAAAACATCTTTTAAATCCATTCCATGTCTTATCATCTGGATTACCATCCCTCTTGTCCATGACATCCTAATTTCTTCTAGATCTCTACAGCAAACTTCTAGTGGCATACCTGCATTCACTCTGCCCCTTCACTAGTCTCTTCTCTGCTCTGAAGTTAGAGTGATGTTCTCTCTGCTCTCCCATTGCCTGTAGGATGAAGATGAAACTCCTGACGTTACTTACGAAGTCCTGCCTGGTCTGACTTCTTTTCTCAGCTGTAGCCCTGGTAGCCTGTTATTAGTTCCTTGGATTTGCTCCTATCCTTTCCACCTGTGGACACTTGCCTGGGCTCTTCACTCCCCCGTTTCACCTACTTAACACTATTAACCTTTGAATATCTCAGTTCAAATGGTACTTCTTAGGAATCCCTCTTTACTGCCCTAATTAGGCAAAGTAATAATAATGAAACAGCAAATCCTTATACAGTAGTTATTAAGCACCGGCCGTCTCTCTAACTTATTTAATCTTCTACCCTATGCATCAGATACTGCTGCTACCCCGTCCTACAGATGAGCAAACAGAAGCATAAGGAGGTACGTACAGTGACTGGCTCAAGGCTGCCTACCCGGTTAGTGGGTGAGTGGTAGCCCTAGAAGCCAAACCGAGGCCAGCTGGCCGCAGAGCCTGCCCTAGGCCACTGCCTCTCTCCGTGGTGACAGGCACTCGCGGTGTCTTCGCCTCTGTAGCACCAACCACAGGTGTAGGTTTACCTTTGCTTAGTGGAATGTTTATATCCCTGAAGGGACTGTAGGCTCAGTGAGTGTGAAAACATGTTTGTTTTTGCTCTCCTGGTCAGCAGTTCTGGGCACACAGGAGGAGTTGAATAAATGCTTGGATGAGCAAATACAAATGAATGGTGGCTATGGGCCTGGATTGCTAGGTGCTTCCACATCTAAGCCAGACATGCTTTCCAGGATCTAGTTCTCGGGACAAACTGCTGAGGCAATTCTATCTTCATTTTTCAGTGGAGGAAACGTAGGTCTAAAGAGGCCAAGGGACCTGCCCAAGGCCAGGTCTGAGGCAGGTGTGAGTCCACATGGTCTGACGTCAGAGCTCCGCTCTCTGCACATCACCATGTTGCCTCTTCTTGCCCTTTCTGCCCTCCTTTCTTTCCCTTCTCCTAACATTTTTCATCCTTCTCTTCTTCTAGGTCCCTGAGCAAGGTCTTCCGTTCCTCAGGGTATAGGAGGTGTCAGTACCAATAGAAAACCAGGCTGAAGACCTGTCATGAGTAAGGTAGGCTATGGCTATTCAGTGCCGCAATTACTTCACTTAAATACGCAGTTTGAGCACTTAATACTTGCAAGCATTTTCAGTATATTCAGTAAATTTAAACTTCTTTTGTTTTTCTTTTGCATTTGTATTTGCTCACAATGTTATCTGAAGGCAGGGCTTTTACATTTTCTCTCTGCAGGTTTAGGAGCACTGCGCCTTCATGAGTTAATCTTTATGCCAGATGTGGGAGTGGAGGGAGGATGCTTTGCTATGCTGGGAACACACAGAAGATAGCCCTGTTGTCAAGAAGCTCACATTCTTGTGGGGAGAGATTGACGTACAAACGAAATGCTACAGAGCAGTGTATCAGATGGGTGTGGGAGGAGGCTGGCGGGCTGTGGGAAACCTTCACAGAGGCATCTGCTCCACAGACGTGTGTGCGGGGCTCTGGGCTTCCTGCTCGGGCTGAAGTTCAATCCTTGTGGAATTTACAATCTAGAGGGGAAGAAGGTCATTAAGTAATTACAGATCATAATGTATATTCTGAAGGAAAAGAGCAGGATGTGATGAGAGAGAATCACAGGGCCGTGATTCTGTCTGGGGAGGAGGAAAGGGCTTCTGGGGGGCGTGGCCCTGGAGCTGAACAGGGAAGACTGAGCAGGTGGCCCCCTGAGGACAGGCGTCCAGTAGTCTTGACACAGAGGCTGGCGCTCACGTGAGGCAGAAGAGGGCTTGGGGTCGCAGGAAGTGCAGACTGGCCAGTGTGGCTGGAGCACAGTGAGGAAGGGGACAATGTGAGGGGGTCAATCAAGCAGGGCCTTGCAGGCCATGGTGGGGAGATGGATTTCACTCACATGAAAGGATGCTCAACATCACTAATCATTAGAGAAATGCAAGTCAAAACCACAATGAGGTATCACCTCACACCAGTCAGAATGGGCATCATCAAAAAGATCTACAAACGATGAATGCTGGAGAGGGTGTGGAGAAAAGGGAACCCTCTTGCACTGTTGGTGGGAATGTAAATTGATACAGCCACTATGGAGAACAGTATGGAGGTTCCTCAAAAAACTAAAAATAGAACTACCATATGACCCAGCAATCCCACTACTGGGCTTATACCCTGAGAAAACCAGAATTCAAAAAGAGTCATGTACCACAGTGTTCATTGCAGCTCTATTTACAATAACCAGGACATGGAAGCAACCTAAGTGTCCATTGACAGATGAATGGGTAAAGATGTGACACATATATACAATGGAATATTATTCAGCCATAAAAAGAAACGAAATTGAGTTATTTGTAGCGAGGTGGATGGACCTAGAGTCTGTCATACACAGTGAAGTAAGTCAGAAAGAGAAAGACAAATACCGTATGCTAACACATATATATGGAATCTAAAAAAAAGAGAAAGGTTCTGAAGAACCTAGGGGCAGGACAGGAATAAAGACACAGATGTAGAAAATGGACTTGAGGACACGGGGAGGGGGAAGGGTAAGCTGGGACAAAGTGAGAGAGTGGCATGGACTTATACATACTACCAAATGTAAAATAGATAGCTAGTGGGAAGCAGCCGCATAGCACAGGGAGATCAGCTTGGTGCTTTGTGACCACCTAGAGGGGTGGGATAGGGAGGGTGAGAGGGAGGCTCAAGAGGGAGGGGATATGGGGATATATGTATATGTATAGCTGACTCACTTTGTTATACAGCAGAAACTAGCACAACATTGTAAAGCAATTATACTCCAATAAAGATGTTAAAAAAAGTGTGATGGGAGGGGAGCCACTGAAGGTTTTAAGGAAGTGAGTGCCATGATGCGATTAATTAAAACCAGGCTGGCTGCATTTTGGAGAATGGATTAGAGAGGGGCAAATAGGAAAGTGGAGAGAACAGTTTGGGGGGGGAGGGGTTGCACTCTGTTAGTAGTTGTGTAGGACGTGAAGGCTGGAGCGTGGCTTCTCAAGGGGATTTGAACAAGCGCATGTGGTTGGACTGGAAGGGAACAGAATGTTCAAAATCAGGAGGCAGGAGGAAGCAGCGTATGGCAGGGAAGTGACTCTGCAAGAAGCAGAAGGAGGGTGGCGGGGAGGGGTGCTGGGAAGAGAGCTGGAGAGGAAGCAGGGGACACGCTGATGCCCCCCACTCTGCCAGGATGATAGAATTTCTCTGAGGGGGGTGGAGCTACTAAGCGTTTAAAGCAGATCCTTAGCAGATCAGCTTTGCTTTGCAGAAGGAGCTCTCCTGGGATGCTCTAAGGAGGCTCAGGGAGAGGAGAGATTGGAGTTTGGTTGTTACTGAAATAGCGCAGGGACAGGAGAGGTGGTGTTTCCCTAACGGTTGTCAACAGTGATAACTACCATTTATCAAGTGCCTATGACATGCTAGCCACTGTACCAAGCACTTGACATCTGTCATTTCTAACCTTGGCCACCGGACCCCCCAGCATACCTCCTCTAAGGGGGCTTGGAACTGCACAGAGCACAGGGGAGGAGGGTGCTTTCAGCAGCCACCTCCACCTTGCAGCCGTGGAGCCTCCCAGCACTCTGCAGGGTAGCATTCTGTTACTATAAGGAAATCACTGTTCTTTAAAGAAGCAGCTTTTCTAAAGGCAGTAGAGCTGAACGCATTGCAAAAGTGGGATTTGAACCCTAATCTCTGATTCCAAAGACCGCGTTCTTTCCATTATATCAAATAGTTCCTCGTATCTCTAGCAAAACCTGTGGTGGGGCAATGTAGTTGTTTACATGAATGTTTTTCTTCCCCTACTAGAATGTGAGCTTATAGAGAACAAGGACTGTGTATTATTCATTGCTACTCCCCCAGTGACAAGCAGAGTGACTGGCTCAGAGTAGGTATACGTTTGTTGACTAGAAGGACCTATATAGATGTGGTGAATATACACAATGGAATATTACTGAGCCATAAACAAGAATGAAACATTGCCATTTGCAGCACCATGGATGTACCTAGAGAATATTGTACTTAGTGAAGTAAGTGAGATGGAGGAAGATAAATACCATATGGTATCACTTATATGTGGAATCTAAAAAATAATACAAATGAACCTATAGACAAAACAGAAACAGACTCACAGACATAGAAAACAAACTTATGGTTACCAAAGGGGAAAGGGAAGGGGAGGATAAATTAGGAGTAGGGGATTAACAGATACAAACTACTATACATACAAGCAACAAGGATTTGCTGTATAGTGCAGGGAACTATATTCAATATCTTGTACTAGCCTATAATGGAAAAAATCTGAAAAAAAATAACTGAATCATTTTTCTATACACCTGAAACTAATACAATATTGTAAATCAACTATACTTCAATTTAAAAAAAACGCTATAGACTAGGATGGCAGTTCTCCTGTTAAGAAACTGCAGTCCTCTTTCATTCTATTGCCCACTTGAGTGCTCTGTCTTTTCCTGTGAGAAACAGCACAAGGGGAGAGCTGCTGGCCCATGTTTCCATCTTTGTAATAGAGCTGTCAGTCCTGATGGCTGCAGGGGATACAACCAGAGGGGAAGACGCCATGCTCTGTGCCGAGCTTCCTCCAAACCTGCTCACACTTATGCCAACTTCCCCGAGCCCACGTGCCCTTAGTTTGAGGTCCCTCACTGTGAAAGCATCCGCAAGGCTGACAACTGGAACATCAGACCGTAGGCTTATTGCAAGGCTGTGGATCACGGGTACCTCAAGAGATCTGAGAATTATGCTCACGCATTATTGCAGAGATGCGGGGCCGCTGGAAGGAGAGATGGTGGTTGTACAGCCAATTAAAATGCACACTGCATAACACCAACGTCGCCGCCCCCCGTGCTAGCTGACAGTAGGTTTTAATTATGCAGTAATAAAAAAACCCGGGGAAACAGCAGTAAATTACAGTCTATTTCTGTGAATGAGCTTAGTCCAATAGCTAAAATCTACAAATTATATAAAGCAAATATTTCAAATTAAATCACAGAGTGTTTGTAGAGCTCTGGTTGTGCATAAGGCATCAGCATGTTTTAAACTGCCGCCTCGATGTTTACGGTTAGAGAGCATGACCATCGAGTGGGGGACCCCAGGCCAGGGCTGAAATGAAATTGCCACGTGTGGGAGGGGCTGGGGGTGAGAAACCCCAAGTCCTGGGACAATAAAAAGGAATTTGAGTGGCAGGGCCGGTGGAGGGTCTTCCTTGGCTCTTAACAGCTTCTGGGGTCAGGCAAGGGTGGGAGCTCTGCACTGCTGGCCGGGCGGGGAGAAGAGGGCGTCAGCCGAGCCTGAGGCAGGGGACTGCAGTTTGTGGGCTCGCTCGGAGCATAACCTGTTGGTGTTGGGGGCTCCAGGCTGCAAGGAAGACATGGCTGTCTCAAGCATCCTATTTCCCGGTGCTCTTAGCAGTTCCAAACCCCTCTTTAAAGAGCTATGGTGGTAACTCCAGATTTTATGGAGCCTGAAGCTTATAGAATTTGGGGAGTCCTCGTAAAGAAAACAGTACAAAAATATCTCCTTTTTGCAGATTTTATAAAACTATATGACTATGTGAACACTTTGCCAGGACTTGAGTTTAATTAACTTCACATAAATCCACCTTTATCTATGACCCTTGGGGTCTACACCCTTGCAAGATGTAGAGTGACTTGGAGATGTTTATGAACCTCACACAGCCAACAAAGCCCATGGCAGGCAGGGAAAGCAGCATCTCTGCCTTGTCACTCACTAAGCTGTACACATTGGGTCAGGATTTATATAAACCAACAGCCGTTTGATGAGTGTTTCCTTTGTGCCCGGCACTGTTAGCAAGGCCAGTGCTTTATTGCTTTATGCTCTAGCGTAGCCTGGCATAATGGCTCTCATTTCATCCCTTCCCAAAATAATGTTAACCTTAATCAGCCACTTTGGTTTTTTTTTATTTTATTTTAATTTTTTACTGGAGCATAGTCGATCAACAATGTTGTGTTAGTTTCAGGTGTACAGCAAAGTGATTTAGTTATACATGTATCTATTTTTTTTCAAATTCTTTTCCTATTTT